TTTTCGCGTTAAGTCCAAGTTATACGGTGACTGTATCTATAAAAGTTTTACGTCAGGATCACATAGCTGCCTAACCAGTTAGCGAAGCGAATCAGAAAAGTATTTGGCTAGTTGTCATACCCTGTAGTGCACCTGTTAAGCTATCGATGGCTCTTATCACTTGGTTTTTATTGATCAATCCGTAGCAGCACTTATTAGTGTTTTAGGACTCTAACGTCATTACTGCTAAAGCACAACTACTCCATGTTCAAAATTTTTGCAGCTAACTTGAATTAGTTTAGTTATGTCAAGTTAAAATCAACAAATAACTGGATAAATGAATAAATAAATAAATGGACCTTCAACGCAACCAACTTCTTCAAAAGTGTATCAGGGATTTCACTGTTCTTCATATTCCTACATATATTGTAAAAATCTTGGCTCGAATAGATACGTTTTTCTGATTTCTGATGTAACGCAATTTTGTCTTCATAGAATTTAGATGCTTCTTCTTCACATTCCAACAAATCTGAACCAGTCCCCATGAACTCGTATGCGTTTTCCTCACCTTTCTCATCATTGTGACCTTGCTGATTTTCCCAATTCCTTGTTTTGTAAGGCTACAACAGCACTATTGCAATCAGTCAGCCATAATGTATCAGCAGTAATGGGGTGAAGGTAGTTTCCGTCCCCAACTTAATTCCGGAAAGACGAATTCAGGTCTATGACAAACAATTTTGCTAGCACCTTGTAAACTGAAGTAATATAACCATTTTCTTCATGAAAATATGTATGTATTCAATACCTACACGAAAGTCTTCAGATCTGCTGAAGAATAAATCATCATAGATAAGATTGCTAGGCCAATTCTCTCTTGCTCGTAACAATTTGGTTCGCAGTTTTCCTTCGACAACAAAATCACTGAACAATTTCAACTCTTGATCACTACTGATAATTGTAAATGCAGCACCTTGTGTACCTGAAGAATACACGTATTCAGCATATTCATTTGCAGCAAAAACAGAACTACTATTAAATCTGCAACATAATTTTTCGCAACTTCAAATTTGACAATACCGAAACGCCCAGCACGCCCAATTCGATGCAAATAGGTGGCTAACACAAGTGGACTCCCATAGTTGATCACAATATTGACACCTGGAGCATCAATTCCTCGTGCTGTCTAGAATACTAATTTGTAGAAAAAGTTGTCTGATATATTCTGTCAATAGATAGCAAAACTGTAAGAACATGAATGCCGCACTGTGACCAGATAGCAAAGGATACTGCGCAAAGAAACAAAGAAAAAGAGACTTAAAATATACTTTAAGTTCGCTATCGACATTTCGACAAACTTACAAGATCCGTCGAGACGAGTAATTTAACCATGCAGTTTTTGAGTCGTCGTATCGCTTTTGTGCGGTCGATCTGTGGCATGTTGCCAGAAATGCTAACCGCATCAAATCTTGACCGATGTAAGTCCGCACAAAGTTCGTTACATCTGAAATGAAATTTCACTACAATTTCCTTCTTTTTAAATAGTATTTCCCAATAAATATATTAATCGTATTACTTGTAATTCTTTCGAAGGCATACCACAAATACATTTTAAAACTTATTTTTTATGATCATTGACGAAGATGATACACTGGCCATAACGAAGGCGAAGTAGTAAGCGTAGCAAAATATTCATTTTTCTGGTTCCATCGCGGGCAACAATCACATACTGTTTGACACCCAGTAACTGTGCATCTCTGTCTACACGCACCAAATGTACATCTGCAGAACAGTAAGCTTGACAAAAAAGATTCAAACAAAGAAATACCGAAAGAAATACTTGAAAATATATTGTAAACCAATAAATCAAATTTCCATAGCAGTGCAAGAATTTTTTCCTCCGATTCGGGCGCCGTAGTGTAGGATAGGCGATAGTAAGTTACAACTGGATCATAACAAAGGATTCATTGTCGAAAAAAATATCATGTGCCGCTAAATATCTTTAAGAAACTCAGAAGTGCAAGCTGAACAAGATAACATTGTTGGAACACTGTCTATCCAGTGGACAAACTAAAGGAAAAATCTTGACCACAGATCGAAGTAAAGATTTATGATTACATCCAAGAAGTGAGTATGCCATCATAGCGCACATCGTGCATTGGTGATAACCGGTCGATCTTGTTCGCTGTACAAAAATAAGTAATGAATAAACCTCTCATGTAGCGCGTAAGAGTTGTATCCAGTCGATATGGATAAGTAGCCGAGAACACAGCTACTTGTTTTTCAGGTGGCAATGCAGAGAACAGGTAACTGAATGAAATTAAATTTAATAATCGCAAGACACATAAAGAATTGCAATTCTCTCGCTTTGTGATTTGACATAACGAAATTAATGAAATTCATCCTCCCCCAGTGTCCTCATTCCAATTTTTATCTACTTCATGACAAATTCAACTGATATCAGTAAACTAACTTGATTTCTTTCTGAAAATTGTCTTCCATAAGCTTATCCGCTTCGTCCAGAACAAATAACCGTACATGGGATAGCCGCAATGCGTTGATTCGAACAAGATGACAGAGGCGGCCTGTTGTTCCAACAACAATGTGAATACTTTTCTTGAGTTTTTGGATATCTTCCGCAACGCCTTTCTCATTTCCACCAACAAACATCCTGATAACAACCTAGGAATTACGCGACGCATAAATGACTAGTCAAAGAAGGCATTTAAATCATTTGCGAAAAATTACCCCACATGGATCACAACAGGAGCAAGCATTCTGATATAAGATACAATTTGAGAAGCAATTTCACGAGTTGGAGCTACGATTAACACCTGCGGACGTCCAAACTGTGCATTCAAGTTTTCTACGGCCAACAAGGAAAAGACCATCGTTTTTCCAGTCCCGGATTTTGCTTGCACCAGCAAATCTGCAGTAAGCATTAATTAGCCTCCAACCTAATTTTGGACGGAAAAGGCGGAAATGTTAGAAATTTGATGGAAATATTCAACAAGTCACTACTACATGCAATTTAACGCACAAAATCAAGTACCAAGTCCAAGCATGCCAGATGGGATTGCTCGAGCTTGTACAGGAGATGGCTTGGTGAAACCAGCTTTAGCTAATGCGTTCAACGAAGTTCGATTAAGCATTAGCGAACTGAAGTCAGGCACATCCGTTTCGACATCCATCGTTCGTATTACTTCGCTCATATCCATCGTAAAGCTGAAACTTCCACACATTTAAAATCCATAGAACGAATGCACCTTCAACAAACTGTTGTTTCAGTCTTTTCTCTTACTGCAGCAAAGCCCTATCGTTCTTAATTCCTAGTGGATATCTCATTTCTGACAACTTTCTCATACACTATTCGATAAGCTGTCCATTTCCACCTCTCCATTGAGAAACAAAAGAGGAAGAGATATCACGGTGAGCAAGAGAGTAGAAAAGCACGAATTTTTGAATACCACCAGTTAAGGATGAGACGGCTCTACGTTTCGTATTAATACTCAGTAAGATTATTTGTCTTTGATTATGCACGAAATGTGACAGTTCATAACGTCTTAAAATCCCTGGTAAACTTCTGTTCCAACTTTCCGCAGTCCCAAAACCCACAACCGCCTACGGATGAAACTTTACATGATCCCAGCCTAAAGTCCAAAATCCCCGAGTCCAAAACTTCCGAGACCCCCCAATCTAACGGTAATGCGTCTTCCCCCGCCTCACCTGAAGTGTAAACAGACAAGCGTTCAGTTAAGAACAACGGTTCGTTGCGAAAATATCAATCCTACCGTCAGTCATTTCTGTTGTTCATTCTTGTGACATCTAGAGGGATATCCGTTGAGAAGAGAGTTGGGGCCCATGAAAGTTCTTTTCTTTCAAATCCTCTTCTGTAATTTTTGACTTTCATTATGTTTTTTCAACCGTGGTAGAATAGCAAATGGGTCTTTGTTGTAAAATAAAGAAAAAAAAAGTCCCGTGAAGATCAGCGTCTGCAAGATTTGATTCATCACACTAAATTTAAACAGTGGAATTTGTTTGAAATTTCTTACGTAAATGTTTAATAGCTGTTCCAGCTTTCAATTCCATGTTACCAGTGCTTTTGCCGGGCTCCTTCCTCCCGGTCTATACATTTCCGTTTTCGACTGGCCAGTTTTAGAAAGTATACACACCATTTTGGAGATTTAACCGGACCGGTAGGTACATAGGTATTCTCCTTCTTACTCCCTTCAAACGCGCAGTGTACTGTTTTTCCGCTTTCTCCTAAGACGTCTTAATTCCATTCCCGTAAAACAAGTTCACCCCCAGTGTTTTTGTACACTGACTTTAGCGTGCAAGAGAAAAATATGCATAAAGTTTCGGTCAAAAAAACCAAATGGCCTGCTAACTGCTTCTATGGAGTCAAATTAATTTCATGGACTCAGGATGACAGAAATTCCAGTCCATAACAAACGAATTGTGAGGGTTTGTTATCCAAGTTCTTTAGGGAAACTAATCAGCCAAATACAACTTGCAGCAGAGAAACCAATGAAGTCTATGATCACTAGGCGCCGAAGCATAATTCTGTAAAAAATATAGAGCGAAAAATAATGAAATATTCGAAAGTTTTTGTGGATGGATAGATATTACTATATAACAAACGTGAAAACACGACACCGAAGTTAACGCCCCGCCTTCCTTTATCTTCCATAAAAAGCCGTTCTAGAGACATTTTTGTCATTTAACAACGAAATGGCTCATATTTGCATATGCAATCTTCCATGACCGAAAAATGTCTTCCCATTCCGGAGAATTTAAAACTTTTTCACGCGGGCAGTTCCAAATGTAAGCAAGTATGCAATCAGCTCCAATGACCAACATCTCGAGGTTAGCATCAAACATCATGCTCACTTCAAGAGCTACCAAAAACAATTGTATTTCACTGGAATGCATCAAAAGGCAAAACAATGTATCCCGAGATGTCTGAAGCGTTCTTTTTCTTTTTCCGTATCTAAACTGCTATTACGCAACTTAACTCAGGAAGGGTCTATCTAACAGAGATGGAAGGCAAGGTAAGAACAAATTGCTGTCCATTCATAAAACACTTGGTGTGGAAGAAAAAAACAAATCGTGGACGAGAAAACCCTTATCGCTCTAAGAGTGAAAAGACCACCGCACTATCTTTATCTCACATCGGACACCATGATCATCATCGTACCTAAGCAAGTTGTCGGCAGATTAATCCTTCGTTGCAGGATTCGAAACAATTTGCCGTTTTGTGAGTGGGCGATATCATCTGATGATCCGATGGGCAATAAAACCACGCTGCTTCTGGTCATTTCTTGAAATACTATGATGACTGGTATACTACCACCTTCCCGAATGTAATCCGGTTCCAATCCATACACTAGAAATGCACTTGGAAGACGGCAGTGCAAAATCCGGTTAATGAGTGAGAAAGTCAATACCTTTCTGGATGGCTCTCGCTGCTCACTGATAGTGAGGATTCTTGAAGTCAGATAACCAGTAAACACCAGAATGAAGTGACTTTATTCTAAAATAATCTCCTTTATCTATAACAACTACAAAGCAAAACAAGACTTGTAATGAAAACAGTTTTTACTTGAAGTGGTTGGGAAAGCCTCTAGTCTTCCTTAATACTTTCAAATGATGTATAACAAGACTGTAGACCTTGGCTGGCTCCATGTTTGCTACGAGTCGAATGCTGAACTTTCCAATTACTTTCGATGCAATGATGGTTTTCGCATCTTTGCCATTAGATGCTCCTGCGATTCCTTTTATGAACAAAACATGATGAAAAATTCGTGAAATGCATACCCCTTTGTACTATTATTAGATGTTTGAATTGTCGCAATCAGAAAGAGCAATAAAACACAGGTATAGCGTTACTATTCATGAAACTCATATAACAACAGATGTAACAATAAGGAATGACAATGATAGTTCAGCTCATATAAAGACAAAAATCTGCAGTCAAGAAATTTGTCATGCAATGAAAGCGTAGGATATCTCCATCATTCCATCAATATTTTTTCTTTCGAATCGTTAAATAATTTGAAACATCAAATCGGTAAGATACTTCTCCTGAATAATGAAGAACTGATTTAATTTCATCAAACGGTGGCAATAAATACACATATCACATCGAAACAAGAGTTTCGTACAATTTCTTCATTTGTACTGGAGCCAACAAATTCATAATACCTCCGATCATGATGCATCCCTCTATATCCGTTAATTGACTCATCATCCAAACTAAATCTGACATTGGCTTGTACCTAAATTAGAACAAACAGTAGCTTATATGGTCTTCGTTACAGTTTTAAGCAATTCACGGTTAAAGCTTATTACAACAATGGAATTGTAATAATTTGGTGGAATATTTCAACATATTAGCAACATGTATTAGCGACCGGAAAGTAAGCGGAACATAGAGTTATATGGAATCTAAGAAATTAAAAAAGTCTAAGAAATTATAAAAAAATCTAAGAAATTAGAGGTATAAACCGACGAACTATGTTACTTCGTCCTTACTTCCTAACATTAAATGAGAGTGCTTTTTTTCATTTGGTAAAAAAGATAAGAATATTACTAAAACATAAACAAAAAAGGTTCCTTAGACCATATCTGCAGTGCATTTAAGTGTGATTCAAAAATGAACTTACACGGAGCCTCCAAATATACCGCTATGTAAGTCTATTTGTAACTGATTATCTCGACGAAATAATAGCACGAACCCCTAAGATATAACACGTAAATAATGAAATGAAAGGAGATGTAATAAAAACTATTAATAGAGGATATCGTCACTTTTCTACCACATCTATGAAAAACCGTTAAGGATAGCTAAGTACTGAAGCAGATACATACATAAGTGGAAAGGAATAAGGATCTTAATGCAAGAGAAAGATTTGATAAAATATGCAGTGATTCTAATATTACAATTCGTCATTTCAGAAATCAAACTGAACAATCTCAAACCGTATGAAATGCAAAGTTTAGTTTTGCCAAGCCAGTAACTGTCAGATATGCAGGTGAAGTTAACACCATTCAGGAAAGTGCTTTTCTTCTTCCCCAATATTGCTTCCAGTCCTAACGAACCACTTTTCACCATTGCTTCGAAACAGAACTTTAAATGAGTGGGATATATAACGCTATAAATTGCAATTCATATCATTTAATAATTTTCTGTAAATGTTACTGCGCTACTATTATTGTCCTGATAAAGTTTGCAACACATTTAATGTGGTAAGCATCCCGCTATCCCATAAAAAGTAATGGCAACAACAGCCTGTCAATTAGTATATCTGCAGCCTGAATTTCATTTATCAAGTACTCATTTATTACGAACCGCTCAAATTATACTTTTATATTCACCGGCATTGAAAGTTCACATTTACACAATACATCCAATGCATTTATCCACGCAACCACTGGCCCTTTATTGTCAGTTGAGCCACGACCATACAATTTCCCATCCTGAAAGTAATGTTATATGTAGTTTATCTTTATCCTAAGTTATGAGGTCGTGCCACGACAACTGAATTTATGATAAAATTCAGAATTTCCAGGACGGATTAAGGCGTTCTAAAAATGACTCTTTGATACCTCTGTGACACTTCGTGAGTATTGTTTTCTTCGTATCCAGTATGAAGTAACCATCAAAACTTATCGCCAAAGCTGAAATGTTTAGGAAGTACACTAGTTGTGGAACCGGAATTATAAATAATATGCACCTTTTCGACGAGATTGAAAGGTTCTGTATTCCAACCATCCAAATTTTCAGCAGGCTGTACATCCAAATGACCATAAATGAGAAGTGTTTTCTTTTCTTAGTCTTATCATTACCAAGCGTACCAAACAAAACTGGAGGAAGACTGATTCTGAAAGCATCCGATAATGTTTGTTTTCCAGAGTCGCACAGCTCAACCCTGGAACCTAATCCTTCCATCTGCTGAAAATTTCAAATTTGCTGCACGTTTTCACTAAAAATCTGCTACACAAAAAGTACAGATATTATTTAACAATGTTAAAAGTGATTTTAAATGATAACACTTATTTCCGATTAGTGATGGACGTACCTTAAATTCCGAATTGTATTGGATTCCCACACAAAATGATAATCCAACAAAGGACTATTACCTACGTCACAAATTTGCTATTTCCAGTACAAGCAGCGTCTAACACTTTAAAAGGCACTAACTATGTGATCTATTTATTAGCAAATAGAAAACAACAGCAGATAAACCATGCAGATATGATGCATTAAAGCATTGAGGCTTAATTCTGCTGACAGACAGGGATCCGAATATTGCAGATAATATAATCATACCATTTTGGTCCACTGTACCATGCGTACAACGTCTGCACGTCGTTGTGGTTGCTCGGACACTTGGTATTGTGACGGTTTCTTGCAATCGTTTGACAAACTTCTTTTGATTCGCATCAACTTTCCTGCAGAATTTACAATATCTAAAGCGTTCGCTTCCACCGCCTACACACAAAGTTGTGTATGGAGCCATCAGTCACAATATGCATACGACTTAGCTGTAGCTTGCAGTGTATATGAGTTGCGCTGCATGGCTGATTCTTGATTGATGACTGTAAAATCTGGTTTCTGTTTTTAATTACACCATTTGAACCATGAGGTTTTATTTTATACCAAAGCGTGGCTGATACTCTTCCTTACAGGAGCCTAATAGCTTCGCTCTTTACACCCCCCTCCGTCCCTCCCGTTTTAAGACACCAAAAAATAAAAAGTAAGCAAGAAGCGCCACATGGGAAAGTTTAATCTTCATATACAACTCGGCAATTCTGGTTGAAACAATCACCTCCTAGTCTCGTAAATTATAGATCGCCCTGCCGTTATGAGTCCTTGTTTTACATATATATCCGCATGCCCATAAATGCAACTCTTGTAATTAAGAGCGCCAGCCACGCATAACACCAGTAATGAATACAAAACACGCATGAAAAGTGGGGAAGATTACTTGGCAAATTTATAGTGGAGATCCATTGCACCGTGACAGTGTCCAAAAGTACCTGCAGTTGGCAGAAAGAATGAATAGCGTAATTGCGTTGATTAACTGTCTAGTTCTACATCTCACCCGATTTCATGACAGACAAAACAGACTGTCTTGTTTTTTTAAACAGACTGCCCGAAAAAAGATCAAAAACATGAGTTGTTGCATCACTAATCCATTACTGGTTGAGCTATCTTTGTCTTAGT